GTCTGGCCATTTTTGCTAATGCTCTCTGCTGTGGGTAGAGAAGGGGGTGAAGCTGGCTAGCAGCCCTGAGCTAGGACACCTTTCATTTTCTTTGAAAGAATCTTCTGGGCTTCCTGGTGGCTCAGTGGTAAAGAACCTGCCTGCCAATGCAGGAGATATAGGTTCGATTACCGGGTGGGGAAGATGCACAGGAGAAGGAAGTGGCACCCCTTCCAGTATTCTTGCCTGGAAAATCCCATGGACATAGGAGCCTGGCAGACTACAGTTCATTGGGTCACAAAAGAGGTGGTCACTTAGCAACTAAACAACAAGAACCTGGGTTTAACTGGTCGTGATCCTCTTCCAGCAAGAATCTAGATCCAATATGGTAAGTCCTGGGTCCTGACCTCCTCTGGTTTGCTCAGGTTCACAGGGTGTTCCCTAATGGGCTGGCCTCCCAGGAAGGGACCATTCAGAAGGGCAATGAGGTTCTCTCCATCAACGGCAAGTCTCTCAAAGGAGCCACACACAATGATGCCCTGGCTATCCTCCGCCAAGCTCGGGAGCCCAGGCAAGCTGTGATCGTCACCAGGAGGCCGACTCTGGAGGCCACGACCGACCTCAACTCCTCCACTGATTCCTCAGGCTCAGCCTCTGTAGCCAGTGACGTCTCCATAGAATCCAGTAAGTTCTCCTTGCCTGGTAGAAGCCTTGTGGGCCACATCACTTTTGGATGTGTGAGGGCAGTGCTGGCAGGGCCATTCCTGGTCCTCAGAACACTTAGCCAGCTGGGCGATGCACACACACGGGTGAATCCGCACATGCGCACAAGTTCCCTGGCAGCATCAGCCAGGCTCACCTGATACCCAGAAGGAGAACATCCCTAACAAACCTCTGTGTTTTCTCAGCAGCAGAGGGCACAGTCTGCACAGTGACCCTGGAAAAGACCTCTGCGGGACTGGGCTTCAGCCTGGAAGGAGGGAAGGGCTCCCTGCATGGGGACAAGCCTCTGACGGTTAATAGGATCTTCAAAGGTGCGATGTGGGTCCCCCTTTTGGCTTCAGCTCTAGTTGTGTGTTGGACCAGGCAGCCCACAGGCTTCTGAGGGCCCTACAGGGCTTATCAGTTTCCCACAACCCCAGGCCCTTTTGGGAGGCAGGCAGACCTCTTACGAACTTGACTTTGTTTTTTCTCCCTGTTCTCCTTGGCTCAGACATCCCTGTAATCCCTCTATTTTGCTGGGTCCTTGTAAGTGACCCAGCCTGCTCTGGCTTCAGCCTGGCAGGGATGAGACCAAGGTGAAGTACGTGAGACCCTGAATGCCATTTTTTAAATTTTTAAAAATTATTTGTTATTTATTTATTTTGGCTATGCTGAGTGTTTTTTGCTCCTCGTGGGCTTTCTCTAGTTGCAGAGAGTGGGGGCTACTCTCTGGTTGCGGTGTGCAGGCATCTCATTGTGGTGGCTTCTCTCATTGCAGAGCTGGGGCTCTAGAGCACTCAGGCTTAGTAGTTGTGGTGCACAGGCTTAATTGCCCCTTGGCATATGGAATCTTCCTGGACCAGGGATCGAACCCACGTCTCCTGCATTAGCAGGCAGATTCTTATCCACTGGTCCACCAGGGAAGTCCTGGGTGCAATATTGAAGGGAGTGCCGAAATATTCAGTAATCAAGATACAGACTGTTTCAATGCAATATTTTTTTAAATCAAAATTAATTCAAAAAGCCCACAATGAACAAAACACAGAGTCTGACTTTCCACTAGCAGAACCCAGCCTCACTCACCTCATTCTAGTCCTGGACCCATCAGCTCCTACTGTTATGCAAAATGTTGAGATTTTGTTCATCATGAATTGGGGAGCAAGCCAACCCTAGTTGGAGGTTACTTGGGTTTTCCTGGGAAGATAATGTATGGCCTGCAGCTGTCACATACAATCACCCCTGATTCTTCACTGCTTCTCAAGCTGGACCCCCTGAGTTCCAGAGCCAGGAATTGTAGACTAGGGGTCACCTGGTCTGGGATCTGGTCCAGTTCTGCTTCTTTTTTTAAAATTTTTGGCTATGCTGGGTCTTCATTGCTGTATGCACGCTCTTCTCTAGTTGCAAGTTCATGGGCTTCTCATTACAGTGGCGTCTTGTTGCAGAGCACAGGCTCCGTAACACGAAGGCTTCAATAGTAGCAGCACATGAGGCTCCCAAGCTCTAAAGCACAGGTTCAGTAGTTGTGGTGTATGGGCTTAGTTGCTCCACAGTATGTGGGATCTCCCCCTATCAGGGATCGAACCCATGTCTCCTGCGTTGACAGGCAGATTCTTTACCACTGAGCCACCAGGGAAGCCCTCCAGCTCTGCTTCTAACCTCCAAGTGACTATTGTCTTCTGGGCCTGAGGCTCCTGATCTATAAGAAGAGCTGTGGACGGGGTTCTTTGGGCTCTTAGTGTTGCGACGCAAAGGCCCTCCTATCTCTGCTCCCTGTTCCCCAGGGAGGCCCCAGTGCAGACTAGTTTTGTTTCTGGGAGGCCTGCTACAACTGCTGAGGCTCACATGGGAGCTTCCGAAGGATGCTATGTTTACTCCAACTCTGGAGAAGCTATATATATATAATATATATGTATAAATAGAATTGGGTTTTTTTTTAATCCTTAACTAAGACTTCACCTTATTTATTTATGGCTGCATCAGGTCTTAGTTATGGCACATGGGCTTCTCTCTAGTTGTGTCATTCAGGGCTTAGTTGTCATATGGGCTTAGTTGCCCCAAGGCCTGTGGGATCTTAGTTCCCCAACCTTAATCGCTGCATTGGAAGGTGAATTCTTAATCTCTGGACCACCCGGGAAATCCTCAATTCTGGGAAAGATATTTTTAACTTTTTAATTTTTGACCACACTGCACAGCATGTGTGTATGTGTGCTCAGTCATGTCCGACTCTTTGCAACCCCGTGGACTGTAGCCTGCCAGGGTCCTCTGTCCATGGGATTTCCCAGGTAAGAACACTGGAGTGGGTTGCTATTTCCTTGCAGAATCTTAATTACCAATTAGGGATCAAACCCAAACCACTTGCAGTGGAAGCTTCAAGTCTTAACTGCTGGACCACCAGGGAATTCCCAATATTTTTAACTTTTGAAAGTTGATTTGAGATGAGCTTACATCTCCAGGTCACTGGACCTGGATTCTAGTGTTAGTTCTGCCACCAATGACAGCACGACCTTACGCGAGTCACTTCACCATCTTGGTCCCATTGGCTTACAAGGGGATGAGCCTGCCAGCTGCAGGGTGATGTGGGGCCAAGGGATGTGGACTCTAGAGCCACAAAGTCTGGTTCACACCTAGACCGCATCACGCAGCAGCTTCGTAGCTCAGGTGAGTTACTTGAGTCCTTGGTTTCCTCCCACATGAAAAGGGAACAGTAACAGAGCTACTAGAGTCCTAGGACTCTTGCCATAAGTGCTGAGTGTTAACACAAAGCCTGTGATATATAATTGCCCAGTATATTTTAGCTTTTTTTTTTTTAGAAATGTCTGTTTTGATGCTTGATCTGTTTTATTTGTTCATTTATTGGCCACACTGCACAACATGCAGGATCTTGGCTCCCTGACCACGGACTGACCCTGTGCCCCCTGCACTGGAAGGTGAAGCCCTAACCACTGGGCAACCAGGGAAGTCCTGGGATGCCTCGCTTTAGATCGACCACTGAGCTCCAGAGGGATGGGCTCCAGTTCCCTTCTGAGCTGTCCTGGCTCCTCAGAGGCCAGGGTAGGTGGTGACTGCTTGTTCCCTTGTCACTCAAGGCACCCACTCTCCTCTCTCATCCCAGGGGTGGTCTCAGAACAGAGTGACACAGTCCAGCCGGGAGATGAAATCTTACACCTGGCCGGCACTGCCATGCAGGGACTCACACGGTTTGAAGCCTGGAACATCATCAAGGCGTTGCCTGATGGCCCTGTGATGATCGTCCTCAGGAGGAAGAGCCTGCAGTCCAAGGGGACCCCAGCTGCTGGAGATCCCTAGGCCCAGCACCAGTGCAGACGCCAGAGCCTACCACATGCAGGTCCCCGAACTGCTAATTCTCAGGGTCACGGCTAACCCCACCCAATGGGGGAATGCACAGCTGTGCTTCCCAGTGGCTGCTTGCCTAGGTCTGGACCTTCTGGGACCCCACCCAGTAAGAGGGTGGTCCCAGAAGTTAGGGCACAGTCACAGTGGGGTGGCTGATACAAATGACAGACTGCATCTAGAGAGCTTAGTGATAATACTGTGGTGCTGTAAATAAAATGGATATATGATTGGACATGAAATCCATGGCTTGCTCTGCAGATTTTCTAAGGCCTGTCTCTGGGTGACGATCCACCCTAACCTTTGTTTTTCTCATGAGTCTGCAATGCTGGCCTGCTTGGAGGGGGTTCCCTTCATCCTGCTCCACTTGACATCAGCTGGTGCCAACTCACAGGCTGGAGGCTAGAACCACTGGAAGGGTCATCCACTCACACACAGGTCACTGAGGTTGGCTGCTGGCTAGGAACTCAGCTGGAGCCATTGGCCTGGACACTTGGGAGGCAGCCTCTCCCTGTGGCCAGGGCTTCCTCACAATACATGACTGCGTGTCCTCCGAGAGTGTGAGAGCCAGGTAGGAGCTGCATCCTTGGTGTGACCTTATCTCCAAAGTTGAAGAGCATCACTTCTCTTGTGCTCCATCAGTCAGAGCTGGCCCAGACCTGCTCAGGTTTAAGGGGAGGGGAAAGGCGGCTTGGGCTATTTTTTGAAAAATATGGTCTATCACATAGCGCATTTGCAAAACTGTTTTTGGTTGGGGTTGGAGAAGCGCTCCTAGCTGGGGTGGTACCCAGTGACAGAGCAAGTAACCAGACAAGTGAAACTCCATGTGTGCTCAGCTGTGCCAACAGAATAGACCAGCCTGAGTCTGACAGGGTGAAATACACATGGCTGCCATTTACCTCCCATGTGTGTTGGTATTAAATGGACATTGTCTTCAGTAATAACAGCAGTGTCTACAGAGCATGATATCATCCTGTTATATAGATGAGAACACTGAGACCCGAGGACAGTGAGAAACTTGTCCAGCTGGTAAATGATACAGAGTGAGTCCTTTCTTCTGTGATTTGGTTGAGACCAATAGGCCAAGATGGTTCAGCAGGTAGACAATCCGCCTGCAATACAGGATACACAAGAGACTTGGGTTCGATTCCCTGCCAGGAGGTTATGGCAACCCACTCTAGTATTCTTGCCTGGAGAATGCCATGGACAGAGGAGCCTGGTGGGCCACAGTCTGTGGATTCACAAAGAGTCGGACACAGCTGAGCAACAAGCATGTGCACAAGAGGTCAGGATGCTTTTAAATGCAGACAGAACATTCTGGGGAAGCTACCGCTGTGGTCATTACTTAGTGCCTGACTGCTGAGCTCGGGGCAAGGAAATTGATTAGCAACACCTAGTATCCCCTGACGGGGGCTTCTCTGGTGGCTCAGCAGTAAAGAATCTGCCTGCCAATGTAAGAGAACATGGGTTTGATCTCTGGGTTGGGAAGCTCCCCTGAAGAAGGAAATGGCAACCCACTCCAGTATTCTTGCCTGGGAAATCCCATGGACTTGGTAACAGCTGTATGGCCCTACCAGGGCTTGGAGGCCAGAAGACTCCTGCTCCACCTTCCATAACCAAGGACAAGAAAAGGCAAATGCCCAAGGGAGGGGAGGTTCTGCTCAAATCCCACTTGTAGGCTTGCTCCATCCAGAATCAATTCCAGAGTGCTTCCAGGGCCAGATTCAAACTGCCTGGTTTCCCTGGGGCACATGAAATTTAACTCATGCAGGGGGAAAAGAAAGAAAAATGATTTGAATAAAAGAGACAACAAAAGGAATATTGAAAGTATTTTTCCTGAAGGTTCATCTCATTTTTTAAACATCAAGTTGACGTCTTTAAGGGGAAGGCTGGCCCAGCACCATACATCTAGGGGTCTGTGGTACAGGACTGAGAGCTCGGACGCAACAAAGGGCTGAGCCAGGTTTTGGGGGAGTGACCGGCAGAGGAAGGCTTTGGCCCCTAGTGTGTCCCACAGTGCCCAGGCAGAGTCCCCGTCTGGTGGTCAGGGGCTCAGATGCACCTGCCGGAGAAGGTGTACTTGGATGACAACAGCCCCACCCGAGTAGATGGAGGAGCAGGGGACCCAGGGTTGCCCCTGGCTGATGTCTTCCAAAGGAGCCCATGTGCTCCCAGGATCTCCAGGGGTGTCCCAACAACTGCCCTTCTGCACGAGCCATGGCAGTTCTCGGCCAACCAGCCAGGCTGTCAGCCGAAGAATTTCTTCACTGCTTTCTCAAGGTTGGCATAGAACCCAGCCATGCTGCGGGGGAAGAAGGAGTCCACCACACCCTGTGGGAGGTAACCACTGAGGTCAGTCTGGAAGAACGTGACCAGGCTGGTTTTGTTTGGCTCCCTGTGAAAACAAAAATAGGGCTGTTAGGTATCTAGAACCGAGGCCCACTCAGGGAAGTGGTCCAAACCCAGGGATTTTGCTGGGTTCACTGCCCAGGGGTCCCCTCTGGGCCTGCCTCTTTTCAGGATGGAAGTGGGTCCTCTCAAGCATGATTCCCTGGCCCCACATGGATGGCCAGCGAGGACATGCCCCCATTTCCATCCCAGCAAGGCCATTCATTCCCTGTGCCTGATTCACTCGGGAAAGTCTTTCAGAGAATTTACTCCAGTGCTGGGTCCCGGGAGAAAGAGACAACGATGCTGCCCTCCGACCATTGAGGGCAGTGATTCTGCGAGAGGTCTGGCAACTCCTGGGGGTTCCTAACACCCTTTCAAGGGCTTTTCAAGGTCAAGGCTATTTTTCTCACAGCACTAAGATGTCATTTGCCTTTCCACTCCCATTCTCTCAGCCTGTACTTTATTCTCACAAATTTTTCCCATGGCCAGCACAACGAAGGCATGGGCTTTGTGGAGACCAAGCATTTTTATTTGTTTATTTATTTATTTTTAATTTTGGGAGGCCACGCCTCACAGCATGTGGGATCTTTACTTTCCCAGCCTGGGATCAAACCTGCATCCCCTGTATTGGAAGTATGGAGTCTTAGCCATTGGACCACCAGGGAGGTTCCTGAGAATTTTATTTGAATGGAATTGTTAACAGCTTCACTGCTGGGGCGGTGGTGGGGGGCAGTTTCCAAAGGCTCTTTGATGTGTGCATCACAACAGACTGAATGTAGAAGCAGATGTGAGCTTCTAGTAAGCCTGACATTAATATTTCCTCAAATGTAAAACAAGGCCACTCTCCACTATTTTTTTATTTTGAAAAATATAGTTATTTTTCACAACAATATTTATGTTATCATGTAATTGCTGTTGTTGTTGTTCAGTCGATAAATCATGTCTGACTTTTTGCAACCCCTTGGACTGCAGCACAACAGGCTTCCCTGTCCTTCACTGTCTCCAGGAGTTTGCTCAAATTCATACTGAGTTGGTGATACTATCTAACCATTTCATCCTCCACCATCTCCTTCTCCTTTCACCTTCCATCTTTCATAGCATCAGGGTCTTTTCCAATGAGTCACTTCTAATGAATGTATCATTATTTTAAAATGTCCCAGGTTTAATGTCAAATATAGTAAATATTGATGGATATAATCCACATGAACAAAACACTTTGATGCCCTGAATAATACTGAAGAGTGTAAATGAGGGCTTCCCTGATAGCTCAGCGGTAAAGAATCCACCTGCCAATTTAGGAGATGTGGGTTTGATTGCTGGGTCGGGAAGATGTCCTGGAGAAGGAACTGGCAACCCATTCTAGTATTCTTGCCTGGGAAATCCCATGGACAGAGAAGCATGGCGGGCTACAGTCCATGGGATCACAAAAGAGTTGGATATAACTGAGTGACTAAACAGTAACAATGGAGACTCAGACCAAAAATATGAGAACTAAGATCCCGCATGCTGCTAGGTATGGCAAAAAACAAAACAAAACCCAAAACCTGGCCATGACCTGTGAGAACACAGGGACAGAACCATTTCTGAGCTCAGTTCTGGGGCTGACTCATGCTGTGCTCTCAGAATCACCCATTAGGCCAGAGCATCTCAACCTCATTCCTCGCTGAGGGGACACAAGATGAGCACCAGTCGGGGGACTGAGGGTGGTGACAGCTAAGCTCCTGGCTGGTCCCAGCTGGTGGAGTGCTCTCAGAACCCCAAGAACACTGGGTGCCCAGACCCCACATGGCCAGCCTGTGACCCTGCACAGACTCTGTGACAGCAAGGCCTACAGAGGTGTAAGGCATTTTAATCATTGGGAATCATTGTTAATGTTGCTATTTAGTAGAACATCCTCTGCCTTAGACAGAAAGATCAAAGCAGTCAATCCTGAATATTCAGGATTGGAAATCAACCCTGAATATTCACTGGAAGGACTGATGCTGAAGCTGAGGTGCCAATACTTGGCCGCCTGATGCAAAGAGCTGACTTACTAGAAAAGACCTGATGCTGAAAAATACTGAAGGAGAAGGGGAAGGCAGAGGATGAGACGGCTGGATGGTATCACCGATTCAATGGACGTGAGTTTGAACAAACTCTGGGAGACGGTGAGGCACAGAGCAGCCTGGCATGCTGCAGTCCCTGGGGTTGCAAAGAGTCAGACATAACTGATCGACTCAACAACAACAACAGGACATCTTCAGTGAAGCCACAGTGAGGTCTCAGCACGTCATTCATTCTGGAGGCTGTCCTTACCCTGGCAGAGGTTCACAGAAACAACCACAGGGATAGTTAAATCCTCTCACGTAACCCGGTTTCGGGGGACAAGATGGATGCTCCACATTGGTAGCTGGAAGAGAGAGTAAAGGATCAGGGAGCTACAGCTTTGGGCAATCGGGCCCCAGTGACTGAAGGGCCTTACCAGGCACCCAGAGTGTATGCAGACCAGTCACCTGGAGCCTGAGCTCTCCCTACTGCCGCCCCACTGTCCCTTGCACACACACGTTCACACGTATGTGTGCCCACACATTTCTGCACTCACACATGCACACACACCCTCTCCAACCTGCCAGTATATTAGAGGAAAGAATATTTCAGGGTCTTCCCTGGGTTGCATGGCAACCCTCTCCAGTATTCTTGCCTGGAGAATCTCATGGACAGAGGAGCCTGGTGGGCTACAGTCCAGGGGGTCACAAAGAGTTGGACATTACTGAGCATACACACATGCAGGGAACTAGATTCCAAATGCCATAACTAAGACCTAGCATAGCCAAATAAATACAATTTTTTCTTTGTAAAAGAAAAAATTTCAGACGTCAGGCTTGAGGGTAGAAGGAAGAAGGTCCCCCTCTCAAATCCCAGCCAACAGAGGTGTGGACGTGCCACCACCTGCCCCCACAAGGGATATTCAGGAGAGCAGCCAGGCTGGCACTTTCTGCAGGAGGAACCGTAAAAAGTGCAGAGGCAGGAACTTTGCTTCTGGCTGGAAGTGGGGGAGCTGACAGCGCCACAGTCCTCATGGGAAGGTGCTCCATGGGTGCAGGGGATCATCACACCCTGGGGTTCCCTGGAGCCAAACCATAGCCCACGTGTCTGGGGTACGAACTATGCACCTCAGCAGGAATGAAAACAGAGTGCTGATGTAATCTGTATCTTCAAACTAAAATAATGTGTATAGATGCTCTCATCTCAGATCTCCCTGGCACAGAATCCCCCCAAACCTGACAAGGGGAGGGAAACACAGAAAAACGAGCCCAGGCTGTGCATGCCCCAGGGATTTCTAGCTGGTGGGCTTTCTTTGAGGAACTGGTGGGTGTGAGGGAGACAGAGACCAGCAGCCCACTAACACCTCAAAGCAGGGCCACCATCACTCACCGTTGGAACTGATGGTGCCGTCCTCATACGTCCTGACTAGCACCAGGTCCACGAAGTCTCTGGGGGAAATAAGCTTCATGACGGCTGAGGGCGTGGTGGTTCTACTGAAGAGCAGGGTCTGTCAGAAAAAAGAGGGCTCCAGCTGCATGCAGTGGCCAGGTGTCTGCTCCCTGCCCTGACTCCTCGGAGCTCACCCACCCCTGCATCTGGTCCCAGTAACCCCGGCTCTGGAATATGGGAATAGCACTGACAGCAAGGTGGCGTTGTGACCTAGAGGGTCTGGAGTGAACTTCCCCGGATGGAGGTGCCAAGGGTCACGGGAACACACTCAGTTAGCAAAATCTTGGGTTGTGATCTGGGCAACAAGGGCAGCCCGAATGATGCAACAAAGAGCTGGCCTGCGGCAACTAAGACTTGACTCAGGCAAAAGTAAAAACAAATAAATATTTAAAAAAATAAAAAGGATCATGAGAGTTGTCACTGGTGGAGCATGTAATAAGAGTCTGGCTGGACAAAGCTCTCCATTGTTCAGTCACTAAGTCTTGTCCGACTCTCTGCACCGACTCCATGGACTAACACACACCAGGCTTCCCTGTCCTTCACTATCTCCCAGAGTTTGTTCAAACTCATGTCCACTGAGTCTATGGACAATGCTCTCAGTGGTCCCGCACAACTGAGAAACTGGTTTCATTTACCCATTTGACCAAAGAAGAAAACTGAGGCTTGTAGAGATGAAGGAATTGACTGCAAAGCTCAGGGTGGAGAGGAGAGACTTGAACTGGGCTGAGTCTAGGCTGAGGCAAGAGAGGCCATTCCTTTCTTAAGCTGCCTTTGCTCTTCTTGCCCAACCTTGAGAACAGTGCCTCCTTAAATATGTGTCCTGCACAGCTTTCTGGTTTCCCCCAGTCCCAGCCCTGGAAGGGAACACCCCTAGAACTTCACCCAGTCTCAGAATATTCCACCAAGTCCATTCCCCCACTTTACAAGTCAAGGACCCCCCCAAGCCCATGCTTTATCCCATGGTTCCCCTATTCCAGCAGGATGTCAGTCCTTTCAGAGTCATAAGATCAGGCCCCAAGATGGGACAGTCCCAGGGAGAGCCTATCCCATTATTCACTTAATGTGTGTTAATTATTCAGTTGTGTCTGACTCTTTGTGATCCCATGGACTGTAGCCTGCCAGGTTCCTCTGTCCATGGGATTCTCCAGAATACTAGAGTGGGTAGCCATTCCCTTCTCCAGAGGATCTTCCCAACCCAGGGATTGAAGCCAGGTCTCCTGTATTGCAGGCAGATTCTTTTCCATCTAAGCCACCAGGGAAGCCCATTCACTTAATTTTTTTTATCTAAATGTGTTCACTTTTTAAAACTTAAACTTATTTTAAAAGGAAGCTATTTAACTGCTGGAAATGAAAAAGAAGGTATCAGTTGGCATAAATAAAAGACAACTGCTACACACACACACGGAATTCTTGGGTTCTGTTTCTGGGCCTGAGGCCAGCTGTCTGTCATCATGGAGATTAGCAAGGTGTCAAAGGCACATCAGCCCTTGAGACTTTCTGCTTCAAGTTATCAGAGAGATTGAAGGCTTGAAATGGAGTGACCTCACTAGGTGTGATTGAACTTCAGCTTCAAATGTTAAAGACCTATCACCTTGTGCCTCACCCTTCACGAAACACTGACATAAACTCCTGTGATGATGAATTGAAATGTGAATTCCTGGTGAAGGTTAAGAACACTTGGCTCCTGCCGATCAAGTAGTAAAGAATTATGGCTTGAGGTTTCCTAATACCTGCTATAGAAGCACCCAAGAGGGTACTAGGTCCACAGATGTCAAAATCAAGGCACCATTCAAAAAAAAAAAAACCAACATTTCCTCAAGGCAACTTTTTCATTTCTTTTATCTTTTTTTTCTTTTTTTTGCTTCAGGCTACTAGGCCTGAAAGTGGTGGAGGCTGCAGCGACCCGGGGCGGAGAGGTACTTTTTCATTTCTTTTGGCTGTCTTTTTTTTTTTTTTCCTCCTTAACTTCTATAATCAAAATGAGGTGGATTCTTAACACTATGGGGCTTCCCAAGTGGCTCAGTGGTAAAGAATCCACCTGCCAATGCAAGAGACCCGGGTTGAATTCCAGGGTTGGGAAGATCCCCTGGAAGAGGAAATGGCAACCCACTCCAGTATTCTTGCCTGGGAAATCTCATGGACAGAGGAGCCTGGCGACTACAGTTCATGGGGTTGTAAACAGTCGGACACAACCAAAGCAACTTAGCACACACACACACATGCTTAACACTACAACAACCAAAGCAACTTAGCACACACACACACATGCTTAACACTACAGAGGATCCCAGGGCAGGACCAATTAGATCTCTGCTGTCCAATATGGCAGCCACAAGTTCCACATGGCAATTTAAATTTACACTGAATTATGAAAATTATATAAAATTAACTATTTCTTCAAACTAGACACCTTTCAAATGTCTGTGGCCACTTGGGGCCAGTGGCTACTGTATTGAATAGCACTGTTGTAGAATATTTTCATCACAGCAGAAAGTTCTACTGGACAGCACTAGGCTAGATACCACATGTTTTATCAGCAGAGAACCTGGCATCCAGAATTTTCCCCCAGCACAGCCTCACAGCTGGCAGAGGATCCTGAGTCTTTGGCCAGGACTCATTATCATGGTCCCATCAAAGGGCAATATTTCCAACTAGAGCTGATGCGTCCAATCCAGTCTGCTTCACCATTCTCAGAGCTCACATTCACTCTGCACTCCTGCCTTCATTAGCCACTGCAGGGTTCTCTCAGCTCTGTCTAGGGCAGCTCTACCTCTCTGGGTCTCACTGTTACATACCTATACCTGGACTGAACCTGGGTTTAAGTGTTGAGCAGTGCACAACCTATTTGCTGGGTACTCCCCTTGCCTAAGGGCTTTCCAGGTGCCACAGTGGTAAAGCATCCATCTACCAATGCAGGAGATGCAAGAGAGGCAGGTTCAATCCATGAGTCGTCAAAAATTCCTTGAGAAGGAAATGGCAACCCACACCAGTATTCTTGCCTGGGAAATGCAATGGACAGAGAAGCCTGGCTGGCTACAGTTGCAAAGAGTCGGGCACAACTTAGCAACAAAACAACATCCCCTTGCCTAAAGGTGTCACTACCCTTCACAGAGGGGACAGAGTCAGCTTACTGTCTCTGGATAACAGTGCTTAGAAAGACTTACATCAGTGAGGCTTTCAATAATTTCAAAACTGTTCACATTCTCATCCCACTGAGCTCGTAAAGTCCCAGCAAGTGGCTTCACGCAGTCCCACACCTGCTCTGGTGTCCCGTTCACAATGCCTTTTCCTCTGTACCTGGAGCACAAAGAGCAATGTGACCCTAAGGCATCAACCAGACTTGTTTATCCTGGGATTACGCAGGACTAGAAGCCATGTGTGCCACTCTTCTTTAAGACAGCCTTGCAGAGAAGGGGCTGACATCTACTGGCCCACCTCCCCATGGGCCTGCAGAAACAGACGGATGCTAAGCTTTCACAAGAATACAGTTTGAGGAAATGATTTAGTTAGATGCAGAAGCTTTTCCGAAGGATGACTGGCAAGTTGATTCCAGGTGCTAGGATGGACTGCCGTCTCAGAGGAAGCAAACCCACAGAAACATCAGGAGAGGTGTGACACCCTAAGGAGCTCTGAGCAAGGCATGCACTTACAGGTTCCCTGGAAACTCCACAGATGGCCTCCAGGAAACTGAAACTCCGTTCTGTCAAAAGGCACAGAATCGCACAATTTTAGAGCTAGAAGGACTCTTGGGAGATAGAGCCCGATCCCCTATTTTATGGAAGAAAAGTCAAGAGCCTCAATAGATGCAAGTCTCCAAAGTGAGACCCAACTGATTCGTGACAGAGTGGGGACTAGTCCTGAACAAAGCTGCCTCCAGGAGGATGCGGTGGACAAAGGGATCTCGTGTGGCTACTGGAAGAGCTTTAGAGCACTGGAGATTTTCAAATCACTTTAAAAACCACCATGCATCTTGTTTTCTCGGACAATTTAGGTCTGTTTGGTGCTTCCCGCTCCACCCTAACCATTTGCCAGCAGGTGACCTTGGCTAAGTCATTTAGTGAAATGGACACACACTCAACACCCGGGGGTCATTGTGTGCACAACTGGCCCTATTTTTTTTTTTTTTTAAGGAAATAACCCCCAGTGGAATCTCCTCTTCAATCTAGCTCCAGGGGATAGAATGCAGAAAACCTCTTGGGAGAGGAGGAGCCTAGGGGCTTCTGAGACCCTAGCCCCAGTGAGCAAAGGCCCCACGACCCCTTTCTGCCCCGTTCCTCACTCACGCTTTCCCGGCAAATCTTCCAGCCCGAGTTGTCTCGCCGGTACTGGAGCATCTTCTCCGCCACCGCCTCGCTCACCTGCGCGGCCGTCGCCGGGTCCATTGCGCGGAAAGATGCGCGAGGCCTAGGGGTCGCAGGCGGGGTGTGCGGTTGCGGCCCCGCACTTGGGTTTGGAAAGCCGGAAAACCAGGGCCTGGCTTGGAGCCCAGAGTCCCGCCCCAGCCCCGCCCCCGATCTAGGATTGGTTTAGACCGTCTGATAGGTCCCGCCCTACTCAGATTAGCAGGGCCAGAGATAGACCGGCCCCGCAGCGCGCACTACGAGCTCAGCCTGGGCAGGTCCAGGGCGCCCCCTGCAAGGTCCAGCGGGATCCGCCTTTCGCACGTCCCAGCTCAGGGAGGGGCTTGGGGGCGCCGGAACCTGGGAGGGACTGTGGTGGAGAGCCAAGAGGGAGGGAACAGGTCTTGGACGACGTCGTAGGCTTGTGTAAGCACAGTGGACTTTTGTCTTGAGTGCGCAGAGGCTTTCTGCCAGGGCGGATGATGGTGAAATTGCAATCAGATATTCCTTTCTAGGGCGGCTGTTGTAGGGGTGGGAGAGGCAGTGTGCGCTGAGACGGGGGTGGAGGTGGGGGCAGTTAGGAAGCTGCAGCGGTCATGGGAGAGATGGGGGTGGCCTGGAGCAGGGGGTGGTGGTGCAGGTGGAGAGAGGAGGACCCTCGGAAAGTGTTTAGAAAGCTAGAACATAGAGATCTCTGTGACAGATGGTGGAGACTGGAGGAGTAGGAAGCTCATGACTCCCACCTCCTGGCTTGAGCCGCTGGTAGCTTAACTGCGAGGGAGGCCAGAGACAGGGTTGAGGGGGGACATGGTGCGTTCAGTTCTGGTCTTATTCAGTAGGAGGTGCCTGAAAGACCTCTAAGGGATGTCTGGGAGACACTGGGATGCGCTGGCATCTGGCACGGAGCTGGGCGCAGCTAAGAGATGACAGAGTTCTGTGCCTCTGGTGGCCTCCACCTTGGGGGAGTGAGTGGAGATCACATCCCCTCAGCTCCTTCCCTCCGTCACTGCGTGGTTGTTGTTTAATCCCTCAGTCGTATCCAACTCTTCTGCGACCCTATGGACTGTGGCCTGCTAGGCTCCTCTGTCCATCGGATTTCACATGCAAGAACACTGGAGTGGGTTGCCATTCCCTTCTCCAGGGAATATTCCCCACCCAGGGATGGAACCCAAGTGCAGCTGCTGCTGCTGCGTGTGCTTAGTCGTGTCTGACTCTGGCAACCCCATAGACTATCAAGACACACTATCTAGACACTGCCTGCCAGGCTCCTCTGTGTATGCGATTCTCCAGGCAAGAATACTGGAGTGGGTTGCCATTTCCTTCTCAAGGGGATCTTTCTGACCCAGGAATGGAACCCAGGTCTCCTGCACTGCAGGCAGACTCTTTACTGACTGAGCTACGAGGGAAGCCACTGAGCCACCCGGGACCCCCTTTTCAGAGCTATAACCAACTAAATATTTGAGAAGATCAACACTGAGATCAGTTTTTATTTTCTGTTTTGGGTGCATATTGTTTCATCTCAAGTTTTTAAAAAAATGATGTAAAGAAAATGACTACCTGAAACCATTTCATGGAAGATGTGATGGACTGCCAGGTGTTGAGAGGCCGGATGCGGAATTAGAGAGTTCTAAACCTGGCTTCATGCACAATTCACTGTGTGCTTTTGAGCAAGTCACTCAGTCTGTTTGCTTATAGGTGAAGCAAGACCATGGTAGATGTTGTCCCATGCCAGTGTGATGGCGAAGTAATGCCAGGTGAAGTAATGCCAGGCAAAGTAATGCCAGGTGAAGTAATGCATGTGAATGTTCCTTGAAGCCACTAAAAAAAAAAAAAAAAGACTTCCTTGGAGGTCCAGTGATTAGGACTTCGCCTTCCAATGCAGAGTGTACCAGTTTGATCCCTGTTCAGGGAATTAAAATCCCACGTCTTGGGTCAAAAAACCCCAAAACAGAAAGCAGAAACAATATTGTAACATTCAATGAAGACTTTTAAAAATAGTCCACATCAAATACATACACACACATATATATATATATGTATTTTTTTAAGACCAGTAAGTTAACCATGGTTAAAAAATTAACACATCAAAATATCATAAAAAGTCAGAGCACAGTCTGAGGGGAAATTAGCCTATTTTAACTAAAAGGAAGTTTTCTTAATGTACAAAGTGCTCTTGGAAATCACTAAATCGTTTTCAAATAACCCCACAGACAAAAAGGATGCATCAGATATGAACAGACACTACAGAAAAATAAGCACGGCTAACAAAGATATGAGAAGATGCAGAACCACCCTCACTGATAGGGAGTTACAAATTTAAACAAGGGGCACTTTTTACACCCATCTGAGAGACAACTCTGAAGAGGTTTGTTAATTCCCTATGTTTGTAAGCATATGGATAAACAGTTGTGGGTGAGAGTGTCAATTTTTGTAACCTTCTGGGAATAGAATAATATATTAAAATTTTAATTTACTTGTTTTTTGACCCAGCAACTCCTGCACACAGGTGTATAAAGTTGATTTTACCACTGGAAACAGCCTATTATTTGTCAGTAGGTTAAACAAAGTTACAGGATATCCATTTATTGGACTGTTATGTAGCCATTCATATAATGTGGCCCAGATGAACAAAGGTGGGGCAGGAACAGATAGGAAATGCTCAAAAGAGCCTAGGCAACTAGAAGTATGAGTAAATATGAGTCGACTATTTTATTCAAGAGCAGTTCACTCTCTAGTAAGGAAATAAAATGGTATTTCAACCTTAACTCTAAAATAACTTAAAATTGTTTAAATTTTTATCCCCACCAACTACCCCATGGGTGCATGCTTAGTCACTCAGTCTTGTCTGACTGCTTGCAGCCTCATGGACCTGTAGCCTGCCAGGTCCTCTGTCCACAGAATTTCCCAGGTAAGAATACTGGAGTGGGTTGCCATTTCTTCATCCAGGGGATCTTCCTGACACAGGACAAGTGTTTATATGTGTAGTAACAGGAAAAATGTCATATATATATATATATATATACACATATATATATATATGTATATATATATATAAAAGTTGAAGGAGAACGGCACTACAGATAAGAGTCAGGGCTCAGGTCAGAGTGCCCTAGTTCAAATCCCAGTGTCCCCATTTGTTAGCTGTGACTTCGGTACATAACTGACCATTCCAGAATTTTGCATCCTCATTTGGAAAATAAAAACAATAGTAATACTAACTCATTGGGTTGACATATGGGTTAAAGAATTTAATAAATAAAAAGCAATGAGAATGGTGCATGGCATACAGTAAGTAAATGTATATAATATATATATCATAGATCGTGTATATATATCTTGAGTGAGAAAGAGAAATAACTCGTTATGTTTGTATATGCTTATATTTCTATGTCTACATATATGTTATATATGTTGATATATGTACTTTAGTTTGGAATATTCACTTCCAAAAAGGCATAGAATAAACTGTTAACAGGAGGGGGTAATGCCAAAAGACATTTTTTCACTTTATAGCATTATCTACTGCTTACTCTATTAATTACTGACATGTAGGTTTTCTTAAATTTAAAAGCATCATTAAAAAATTCAATGTAGAATAATTCTTAAAGTCGCAGCTTTGAACTCTCATAGTCTGGAGCTTATTAGAATTTTGTTTGGGGATAAAACGCTATGAAAACAAAGCTGAGGGAAAGTAAGTTTTGCTCTAGAAAGTAACTTTTAGACATCGAACATTTAAGAGATTTTTATACTTACAAACTCATTGGAAAAGACCCTGATGCTGGGAGGGATTGGGGGCAGGAGGAGAAGGGGATGACAGAGGATGAGATGGTTGGATGGCATCACCGACTTGATGGACATGAGTTTGGGTGAACTCCGGGAGTTTGTGATGGACAGGGAGGCCTGGTGTGCTGTGATTCATGGGGTCACAAAGAGTCAGACACGACTGAGCAACTGAATTGAACTGAACTGATACTTACAAAATGGAGCATGGCTTTAAAATTTTTCTAGCACTGTAAGACACTTTAATCTTTGCTGCCAGAAAATGCCAGTCCTGGGTATATGTGAAATATTCAGAGAGGCGAACTGTTCATCCCCGAGGTCTTCACACACTGGCAGCAGGGGCTGGGTGAAGTAGGGCCAGCCGAGGGCAGGCTCTCATCTGTTTTGTCTCCAGAGCCTGGGACAGGGCAGGATGAGCGGCTGGGCACCACCCGCCCACCAGAGCTGCTCAGCTGGCCTGTTTAGCAGTCTGCTGGAGGCTCATTCAGAGCCACCAGGGCAGAAGGAATGACTGACTTCTGTAGATCCCATTGATCAGGCCCCACCTGCGAGGTTGTCAGGCCTCCAAGTCACTCAGTTGTCCAGGGCACACCTCACCGAAGTCCAAGATGAATTTTAACTAAGTGCCTATGGGGCAGGAGGCCCAGAGATTCCTAACTCAAGCCACCACCAGACTACCAAGGGGTGGGCCAAGTGTCCAAGTGCTCTGATCCTAAAAGCTCCTAAATGGAGTATTTGCTTTCTACGTAGACATTGATGAAAAATTGTATGCATGTTTACTTAGTCAGGCAGGTGCTAGGTGATCTACTCTGTTGGCATACAGGTACTTCTTTATTCACTGGCAGGCCACTGTCCCAACCACTTTACCTGTGTTGTGCCATTTAACCCTCACAGGTAGAGACAACCGTCTCCAATTGCCTGCAGTCTATGGGGTTGAAAAAAGTCAGACATGACTGAGTGACTGAACAACCTGGGTTAAGAAACTGCCAACACTTATCTATCATCCAGTGGTTAAGAATTCATCTGCCAATGCAGAGAACATGGGTTTGATCCCTGAACAGGGAAGATCCCACATGCTGCTGAGCAACTCAGCCTGTGCACCACAACTACTTAGCCTGTGCCCTAGGGTCCAGGAGCCACAACCACTGAGCCCACGTGCCCGAGAGCCCACGCTCCACACCAAGAGAAACCACTGAAATGAGAAGCCCACGCATGGCAACTAGAGTGGCCTGTGCAGCAATGAAGATCCAGCACAGCCAAAA